AATTTTAATAAACTCCATTTAATCAATTCTTTGGATTGTGCTTTTGATATTATATCTAAATGCCACAAAGATTTTCTCCTAAATTTTCAAGAACAGCCCTAGAAATAAATGAAAGTCATATGTTATTAAAAGAATTTTTAGTACCCATTTACTTTCTATCCCTTTTTCTCTCTCTTCTTCTTCTCCTGGTACCCCTATAATGCAGATGTTGTTCCTTTTGGTTTGGTCACACAGTTCTCTTAATATTGTTTCATTTCTAGAGATCCCTTTATATCTGCATCAGCTTCTATGCATTCCTGTTCTCTTGTTTCTGTTCCATTATTCGCCTCTTTCATCTCATCCATTCTGCTTTTAAGTCCTTGATCTTTGCCATTTTAATTTCAAAATAAACAATATTTAATTTCAAAAATATTGTTTTATTTCTGTAGTCTCCCTCCCTACTGTGTCAGTTAGCTCTTATGTTTTTCTCTGCAGCTCTGTCAGCAATGTTATGTCCTTTATTTTGAATTCTTTTTCAGGTAGAATTATCTGGTCTGTCTCCCCAGATTCCTTCTCAGGGGAGAGTGTCTGGGTTAGTCTCATCTCTATCAAATTCTTCTACCTTTTCATGGCAATAGAGGTAGTTAAGGGAAGTTGGCATGTGTGTCAGCTGGGAGAAAATCCCTTCTTGCTTGTTTGTGGCCTTCCTCTCCTGGGGGAACTGCAACCCCTATCAGCTTTTTGCTGGGCAGTTGCGCCAGCAGGCGAGGTCTCTTGATTCTTGCCCGGCCACTGTACAGGAAGCTTCGTGCGCAGTTGCTGTGGGCATGGCCAGCCTTAAGCTGCTGCTCTGCTATGGCATGGCCACACCTGAGGGGAAATGTGTGGGAGGCTGTTTATTACCGTGTGGGGCCTCAGAGCTGCGCTCCTGCCCATGGAATTAGGGCGCCTGTAGTTCCCCAGAATTTCCAGCTGCTGGGCTGAGTGTGCCGGGATGCCTCCATCCACCTGTGGGGTCCCTGTCCCTTAAGACTTTCAAAAAGCACTTACTTTTCTTTGTCCCAGGGGTGCTGCCTGCGGGGAACTGCTTGCAGGTTTTACTGTCCTGTTTTCCTAGTATCCAGCACACCATGCACTGTGTTTCTGCGCTCCCGTTGTGGATGGCTAGGGCTGGGTATTTAGTAGTCCTGGGCTCCCTCTCTTTCCCCACTCCGACTCTTCTCCTCCCGCCGTGGAGCTGGGGTAGGGGTCGCTCGGGTCCCACCGGGCCACGGCTTGTATCTTACACCCTTTGTGAGGCGCTGGGTTCTCGCAGGTGTAGATGTAGCCTGGCTGTTGTCCTGTATCTTCTTGTCTCTCTTGTAGGAGTAGTTGTATTTGTTGTATTTTCAAAAATATATATGGTTTTGGGAGGAGATTTCTGCTGCTCTACTCATGCCGCCATCTTGTCTCCTCCCACATCTCTGATCATTCTTTTGTCTGCCAAAGTTCCTAGTGAAATTGTGTCACTAATTTTTCAATTCAGTTATGCATTTTAGTTCCAGAATTTTGTGTTTTTTTTAAATAATTTCTTTTTGTTGATACTCTATTTGTTGACACATCACCCTCGTGGTTTCTATTAATTCTTTGTTTATGGTTTCTTTGAGATATTTGAGCATATTTAAGAGAGTGTTTAAAAGTCTTTGTCAAGTAAGTCTGATGTCTGTTCTTTGTCACAGATAGTTTCTTTAATTTCTCCTTTGAGTGGGGCATACTTCTTTGTATGTGTCACATTTTTTATAGTGGATGTTAAAAATATTATAACATGATAACTGTGGTAATCAGATTGTTCCCTGTTCTCATGGTTTTTGTTGCTTTCTGTACATTGTAGTTTTTTTTTTAATGACTTTTCTAAATTGTTTTTATAGTTTTTTTGTTGTTGTTGTTGTTCATGACTGTCCTTTTAGTCTGTTTGGGCTGCCTTAACAAAATACCGCAGAACAGAAATTTATTTCCTCACAGTTCTAAATGCTGGAAGGGTGCCAACATGATTGGCTTCTGGTGAGAACTCTTCCTGACTTGCAGATGGTCAACTTCTTGCTTTCTTCTCACATGGTGGGTGGAGAGAGGGAGAGACAGAGAGAGAAAGAACATGTATGCTCTGGTGTCTTTCCTTATAAGGGTCCCACATCCTATCATGAGTGCCCTACCTTCATGATCTCATGTAAACCGGATTTTCCCAAAGGCCCCATCTTTGTGGTGCCATCAGTGAGTATAGGTTTTCAACATACAAATTTTGGTGGTATACCACACACATTCAGTACATGAAATCTCTTTTTTTTAAAGCTGTGTTCTGCTGGTGTTATGGTAGAAATTTCCTTGAATACCTGGAGTAAAAGAGAAATTTTTGAAAAGAAGAAAGAAGAAATAAAGCCCTCGCCCTGTCTTTGCAGACTGGCTGTGTGTTGGGGCTCTAAGCTTAGCCAGGCTGTTCACAAACTCTGGTTTAGACTTCACTTTCTTTCTGGTGCTGAGCCTAGAAATGAGTCAGTTTCCTCTGAGTATGTGTCTTGTCTTGGACATGTGCATGGCTTTCTAAATTCCCAAAGTGTTATTCAGTTCCCTTATTTCACATACAAAAAAATCTTCCCAGTGTTTCCTCTAGGTTTATGGCTTGTCTATTATTTCCTTCAACTCTAATGTTTTTGTCCTAGGTGGCAGTGGGTTTTTCATTTGCCTTAAAATGTTTTTGAAGAATGCCCTTCTAATAGCTGCGTTTCTGTCCTAAGAGAGTTCCAACTTGAAACCAAGGAGAGTGCCCTAAAGTCAACCCTTCAGGTATCCCCACACAGGTGGCAATTGACAGGCATTATTTGAGAACAAAATCTACTTTGTTCCTTCTAGACCAAGGGACCTGAGTCTTAACTATTGGAATGTGTATTCAAGAATGCCACTGAGCTAAAAGTGGGGAAAGGGAAATAAAAATGCTGCAAAGCTTTTACACTGTTTTGAAATCATCTTTTTCTTGTTTCAGTATTTGCTTGGTTGATGAAAACCTGTGACTATTTTTCTGAGGTCTGAGAAATTTGATTCTGAAAGTTCTTAGGTTTTTGGTGTTATGGAGGAACAGGCTTCTGGAACTATATTTTTCACTTTTTTGGGGATGAAAAATGTGATGTCATTGAGGAAGTGTTTTTTTTTTTGTTTGTGCTTTCTGATATTTGCTGCTGTTGGGTTCATTTTGCACTGCCTGTCATTTTTCTCTCTACTTCCTCCTGTGCAACTTCTGCCTTAACTTTACTGTTCTTAGCAGCTTTTATTTATATTTTGGAACCTTTGGATTACCCTGTCTTCATTTACCTTACAATGAAGATTTCATTTTTTAGTGTTGGCTTATTTGTTTGCTTTTGTTGCTTTTTTATGGTATCCAGGACTCATAATTTTCCCTTATCCTCCAGTTTTCCCTCTTGGTACTTGTAGTCAACCCCTATTCCTGCTCCAAACTCCTGATAATCATTAGTATGTTTTCTGCTCTTATAACTTTGCCTTTTCTAGAATGTTATATAAATGGAGTCATACAGTGTGTAGCATTTGGAGCCAGGCTTTCACTTAGAATGCATTTGAGGTTTATCCACATTGTTTTGTGTTATTAGTAGTTTGTTCATTTTTGTTTCTGAGTAATTTTCTAATGTATGAATGTATAATTGAAGAACTTCAGGGTGTCTTCTGTTTTCAGCGATGATAAATAAAGCTGTATAAACATTCATGTATAATTTTCATATGAACATTTTCATTTCTTTCGGATCAGTACTTAGGAGTGGAGCTGCTGTGTCATAAGTTCTTAAGAAACTGCTAATCTGTGGCTATATCATTTTGCATCCTCACCAGCATTGTGTGAGAGTTCCAATTCTTCTGCATCCTTACCATTTCTTGATAGTGTTAGTATTTTGGATTTTAGCACTCTAATGTATAGAACTAGTATCTCTGTTTGTTTTGCATTTCCCTAATGACTAATGTATTGATCATTTTTTTCATATACTTATTCTAATCTGTATATCTTCTTTGGTGAAGTTTCTAGCAAAAGCTATTGCTATTTACAATTTATTTCAGTTTTGAGAGTTCTTATAATCTGGTTATTAGTCTTCGGTTAGATGTATTTTGCAGATATTTTTTTCCAAGTCTGTGTCATGCCTTTCAAAGTGTCCTTCAAAGGACAGTAATTTTTAATTTTAATAAACTCCATTTAATCAATTCTTTGGATTGTGCTTTTGATATTATATCTAAATGCCACAAAGATTTTCTCCTAAATTTTCAAGAACAGCCCTAGAAATAAATGAAAGTCATATGTTATTAAAAGAATTTTTAGTACCCATTTAAAAAAAAAAGAAATAGGTGATATTAATTTAAATATTATGTTTTATTTAGGCCAGTATGTGCAAAATGATCGTTTAAACATATATTCAGTGGAAAAATTATTAATAAGAAATGTTACATTTCCATTTTTGTACTACCGAGTTCTATCTTGGTGCGTATATAACGTAGCACATCTCAATTGAACTGTATACTTCAAGGGCTCACCAGCCACATCTGTCTAGTAGCTACCATGTCAGACAGCACATATATAAAAGTTTTATAGTTTTAGATTTTACCTTAAGTCTGTTATTTATTTTGATTTTGTATAATGTACAAGGTATGGATTGAAGTTTATTTTTTTATATATGGTTGTTCCATCAGAAGCTTTTAATAAAAGTTGTTCTGGGCAATTAGAGATCATCCTGGGCTCCAAAGCTCAACATTTAAATGTATTTTTATTGCTTTATTTTGTTGTCTTTTATTCCAATGTAATGTAAATTTACTTTGTATATAACAATTTTCAAACTATATGTGCAAAATGCTTGAGAATGCTAAGTATATAGTGTCTTTGCTTTATTCATATACCATGTTCAAACTTAAATTTTACATAATGATATTTACCTTTATAAGACAATTAACCTCCTTATTTTCAAAATTGTATCTAAAATTCTTACTTACTTTGTTTCCAGGCATGTACTGGCATTGAAAACATTGATGAAGCTATTACATTGCTTGAACAAAATAATTGGGACTTAGTGGTAAGTACTTTTCCCTATTTCTTGGCTTTATTAAGATCCATTGACATATAACATTGTTTATATTTAAGGTGTACAACATGATGATTTGATACACATATATATTTTGAAATGATTACCACAATAATCTTAGTTATACATGCATCACCTCACATGGTTATTTTTTTGTGTATGTGGTGAGAACTTTTAAGATTTACACTCTTAGCAACTTTCAAATACATAATACAGTATTGTTATTGATAATTACCATACTGTTTATTTGATCCCCAGAACTTACTTGTCTTATGACTGGAAATTTATACCCTTTTGAATACCTTCACTCATTCTCCCCCCAACCCTGGCAACCATTAGTCTATTTTGTTTCTGTGAGTTTGGTTGTCTTTTTAGATTCCATATGTAAGTGGGATGATACATGTATTGTCTTTCTTTGACTTATTGAAAGTATATTTTTCTTTATCTGAGCAGTAATCAAATTTTATGAATTCTTGAATGTCTTTAACATTCCTTATAGATAGTTGAGCATACCATAGCCCATCTAAAACTCTAATCTGAATGAATAAAATTTAAGTGTTGTATGTTTAATTGAAGGTTGTATTTAGTTCTGTATTAAATTTCTAAATTATTGTAAATTCTAGATAATTTAAGTAGTTTTTAAAGTTGTTCTCTTATCTTATTGTGTATTAAGGTTCATCTTCCACTGTAATATTGTGGTGGAGGTGCTTGGAAGGAGAGAAAAGTCAGGCTTGCCTCAATGTCTGAATACCTGTTTGATGTTTCCCTATCACTTCCTGGGGCCCTCTCTAAGGATTCCCATCGGAAGCTGTTGAAGGAGTGGTGTCTGCTGTGGGGTTTTTTTTTGTTGTTGTTAATGAACTCCAGACAGTTTACTATAGAAGTGGTTTAGTTTTATTTTGGGGCAGAAGGGTGATTAAATCAAAAGGCAAAGAGCCCAGCACAGCACTACACATTCACAGAATTGTGATTTATTTATAATTGTAAAGCAAACTCAAAATGAACTTGTACAATAGTATAGGAGCAGTATTGGTTGTTGGGATGACACAGATGCCCCTCAATGCTTTTGAAATCCTAACAAGTCTAAATTACAATTTTGCAGAAGTGCTAATTTTTGAAAGTCAAAACTTGAGACATGTACTAACAGCTGAGATTAAGATATGTAGGTAAATTCAAGTCCATATGGATTTACATGAGCAACTGTCAATTATATATGTGCTTTTTGTAGATTTATTGCTATTAATTTTTTTATTCAATATAAAATGCCTTTATTTTCAGCTTATGTAAGTAATAATGTCCATTGTAATGAAATAAGAAGTCAGAGGAATTTACCCCCCAAAATTAATAATCACCTTTAAACCCATTACTTAGAGGTGGTAATTTTTTATAGCCATGAAAAAATCATTTCATGTTTTGTTACTTGTCAGAATCTCAAAAAAAATTATTCTAAGGAATTATAGGATAATCATTAACATACATTTCATGGTTTTTTTCCCCCAGAATTTTAGCATATACAACCCAACCTGTAAATGTCCAAAAATAAATAGAGTAAACAGTGTGGTACTTAAAACATAGGGTTAAGAAGCACTTGCTTTGTGGATAGCTATAGAAAGAAAATAATGTGCAGGATAAGGGAAAGTGACTGATGACTGAAATTCCTGAAACTGAGTTATATTTTCATATAGAATATATTTGTGTGTCTAAATCTATAAAATAGCTTAAATATTTGCAATCATTTTTTTTCAGTAAGTTACTTCTTCTATATTATACTCTACTCCTGAGTATAATACATGTATCAGAGGCTTATCAATTTTTTAGTATAACTCTCAAAGTCAGACACCACATGTTACTATTATTATATTTATTTAAGCCCCCACTGTATCTAGCCTAAATTGGATACACTAAAAACACTAAGCAATGATGGGATGAGTATTTTCTGTTATAGTACTTTTTTAAAAACACAATTCCATGTCATGGTATCTAACTCACATTCCTCTATACTCCTCTAGCAAAATGTGCACCAAAAACATGAGAGTTCTAACTGATACATATAGGAAATTTAAAATGTACATATATTCCAGGTTTAAAATTCAAATTACACAAACTGTTACAAAAGGCTCATAAGATACAGAGCAGTGATAATCATAATTTAGAAACACCAAACATAATGCACAGGCAAACTATAGAAAACACCATATAAAAAGTTCCGTGAGGGCAAGTGGGGAGAGGGGAAGGGGAGGGGGAAAAAAAAAGGTTCCGTGATCCTAATGAACTAGTAATAGATTATTCAAAATACATCAGTTTCATTTTAAAAAAACTACAATGTAAAATAAGTACTGTATAAAAACAGAAGTAATGAGAAAATTTATACGGTAAGTTAATTACACAATACAGCAAATCTTTATTGTAGATAAAAGTGGATTATTTGCAGAGACAAGCAGCTACTCCAGGTATTTCAAAACAAGACAAAATTTGAGATTATGAAAGATAGCCTGATACTTTTGTTTGGGCCCAATACAGTGTGAGATCACATTTCTACAGAAATGTAATGCCAGTGTTTAACCTAAGTGCCATTACAATATATTTTTTGTCCTTTTATTTTTTTAATTATGATATCATTAATATACAATCACATGAGCAACACTGTGGTTACTAGATTCTCCCCATTATCACCACATAACCCATGACAGTCACTGTCTATCAGTGTAATAAGATGCTACAGAGTCACTACTTGTCTTCTCTGTGCTATACTGCGTTCTCTGTGCCCCCCCTACATTATGTGTGCTAATCATAATGCCCCTTAATCCCCTTATCCCTCCCTTCCAAACCCACCCTCCCAATCCCTTTCCCTTTGTCCATTCTTGGGTTCTGTGAGTCTGCTTCTGTTTTGTTCCTTCAGTTTTTGCTTTATTGTTATACTCCACAGGTGAGTGTAATTATTTGGTACTTGTCTTTCTCCACCTGGCTTATTTCACTGAGCATAATACCATCTAGCTCCCTCCATGTTGTTGCAAATGGTAGGATTTGTTTTCTTCTTATGGCTGAATAGTATTCCATTGTGTATATGTACCACATCTTCTTTATACATTCATCTACTGATGGACACTTAGGTTGCTTCCATATCTTGGTTATTGTAAATAGTGCTGTGATAAACATAGGGGTGCATATGTCTTTATGAATCTGGGATCCTGCATTCTTAGGGTAAATTCCTAGGAGTGAAATTGCTGGGTCAAATGGTATTTCTATTTTGAGTTTTTTGAGGAACCTCCATACTGCTTTCCACAGTGGTTGAACTAGTTTACTTTCCTACCAGCAGTGTAGGAGGGTTCCCCTTTCTCCACGTCCTCACCAGCATTTGTTGTTGTTTGTCTTTTGAATATTGACTATCCTAACTGATGTGAGGTGATATCTCACTGTGGTTTTAATTTGCATTTCTCTGATGATTAGCGATGTGGAGCATCTTTTCATGTGCCTGTTGGCCATCTGAATTTCTTCTTTGGAGAAGTGTCTGTTCATATCCTCCAACCATTTTTTAATAGGGTTATTTGCTTTTTGGTTGTTGAGGCATGTGAGCTCTTTATATAATTTGGCTGTCAACCCCTTATCGGATATGTCATTTATGAATATATTCTCCCATACTGTAGGATGGCTTTTTGTTCTACTGATGGTGTCCTTTGCTGTACAGAAGCTTTCTAGTTTGATGTAGTCCCACTTGTTCCCATTTTTGCTTTTGTATCCCTTGCTGGGGAGATATGTTCATGAAAAAGTTGCTTTTGTTAATATTCAAGAGATTTTTGCCTATGTTTCCTTCTAGGAGTTTTATGGTTTCATGACTTAGATTCAGTTCTTTGATCCATTTTGGGTTTACTTTTGTGTATGGGGTTAGACAATAATCCAGTTTCATTCTCTTGCATGTAGCTGTCCAGTTCTGCCAACAGCAGTTGTTGAAGAGGCTGTTATTTCCCCACTATATATCCATGGCTCCTTTATCATATATTAATTGACAATATATGGTTGGGTTTATATCTGGCCTCTCTAGTCTGTTCCATTGGTCTATGGGTCTGTTCTTGTGCCAGTACCAAATTGTCTTGATTACTGTGGCTTTGTAGTAGAGCTTGAAGTCAGGGAGTATAATCCCCCCCACTTTATTCTTCCTTCTCAGCATTGCTGTGGCTATTCAGGGTCTTTTGTGGTTCCATATGAATTTTAGGACTATTTGCTTGAGTTCATTAAAGAACGCTGTTGGTATTTTGATAGGGATTGCATTGAACCTGTAGATTGCTTTAGGCAGGATGGCCATTTTGGCAATATTAATTCTTCCCAAGAGCATGGGATGAATTTCCATTTATTAGTGTTCTCTTTAATATCTCTCAAGAGTGTCTTGTATTTTTCAGGTATAGGTCTTTCAATTCTTTGATTAGGTTTATTCCTAGGTATTATTCTTTTTGATGCAATTGTGAATGTAATTGTTTTCCTCATTTCTCTTTCTGCTAGTTCATTATTAGAATGTAGCAGTGCAACAGATTTCTGTGTATTAATTTTGTAACCTGTAACTTTGCTGAATTCAGATATTAGATCTAGTAGTTTTGGGGTGGATTCTTTAGGTCTTTTTTTATGTACAGTACCATGTTATTTGCAAACAGTGGCAGTTTAACTTCTTCCTTGAAAATCTGGATGCGTTTTATTTCTTTGTGTTGTCTGATTGCTGTGGCTAGGACCTCCAGTACTATGTTGAAATAAAGTGGGGAGAGTGGGTATCCTTGTCTTGTTCCCAATCTTAGAGGAAAAGCTTTCAACTTATCACTGTTAAGTATGTGGTTGGCTATGGGTTTGTCATATATGGCCTTAATTTTGTTGAGGTACTTCCCCTCTATACCCATTTTCTTGTGAGTTTATATCATGAATGTGGGTTGAATTTTGTCAGTTGCTTTTTCAGCATCTATGGAGATGATCATGTGATTTTTGTCCTTTTTATTGAATAGTGAATGATG